GATCTCCTGTTGAGTTTGTAGGTGTTCAGAATGGTTTGATCCCTATCCAGCTGAATTCCTGAGAGGAGACGAAGTCCAGGTCTCCTACTCCTCCGCCATCGTGCTCCGCCCCCAAGATTTCATCCTTTTTTATGGCTGAATAATATTCTGTTGTATATATAGCACATATTCTTTATTCATCAATTGATGGATACTTGGGACGCTTCCATAGTTAAGCTATTGTAGGTAATGCTGCAATAAACATCTGGGTGCATGTATCCCTTTGAATTAGTGTTTTTGTATTCTTTGGGTAAATACCCAGTAGTGTGATTACTGGATCGTGTATGGTAGTTCTATTTTTAACTTTTGAGGAACCTCCATATTGTTTTCCACAGTGGCTGCATCAGTTTGCATTCCCACCAACAGTGCAAGAGGATTCCTTCTTTACATCCTTGCCAACACTTGTTGTTTTTTGTGTTTTTGATTTTAGCCTTTCTGGCAGGTGTGAGGTGATATCTCCCTGTAGTTTTGATTTGTGTTTCCCTGATGATGAGTAATGTTGAGCATCTTTTCATGTGTCCATTGGCCATCTGGATGTCTTCTCTGGAGTAATGTCTGTTCATGTCTTCTGCCCATTTTTTAATTGGATTATTTGTTCTTTGGGGTAATCATCTTACATTTTTTACTTAAAAATATAGTTTGGGAAATGTTTTATACCTTGTTCCAAATAACTAAATAGTGTTTCGTTATATCGGTATATCATAATCTGAAATAACCTTTAAGTGACAAAATATTTCCTTTATATAATAAAAATCAACAAAATAATGGCTGTGAAAGAAACCGTGAGAACAATCCCAGTTCAGATCAGAAAAGGAAGACAGTTCCAAGAGGATTTCTTTTCTTCTTGAAAATATGGGACTGATAAGATGTATTTGAATGCATTGAGATGTGATGTACAATTCTGCATAGTTAAGGGATGCATTATTAATCAGTACATAGAAAACTAGATAAATAAAAAATGCTGCCAATATTAGCTATACAAAAAGCAAAATGTGTTTAAGAATGTATATAATATAATATATAATCATGATACAGTACAAGATTCAGCTGTGAATAATATTTACATATTCATAATAACATACGAATAAAAAATTTTGATAATGAGCATGTATCATTTTCACCAAATGTATTAGAATGGTTTTTCTTTAAAATATTTAGGGGCCCAAATGGTAATATTTACATCTTAACAGTGGTTTACTTTGGGAATACAGTCTTGGGACTACAGATGATTATACTCTTTTATTTTTTGGAACTTTCTGGCTTTTCTGATGCCTAAGTATTTTTGTAGGTCCTATTGTAAAATATATTTTAAAATAGTTTCAACCAGATGATCTACCCCTCAGAATTTTCCAGATAAATAACTTGGGTTCTGTTGATCTTTAACCACTAAACCCTGAGTGATTGTTTCTTTTCTTGCCAAACTTTGAAGATAAAGTTAATTGCATTACAAATTATAAATACATGGTGATAATGTATACTAATTTCATATATCTTTCAATATTAAAATAAAATTTAAAATATCAAATTATAGCCAACAACAGAGAAACAATGGTGAGCAAAAGCATTTCCATATGTCTTTCATTGATGTTTATAATTTGAAAAAAGAGAATTAGAAAGTAGAAGATATATGTACTGGATTACTTTTTGGTTGAATGACTTTTGGTTTAAAGGCATATTGGTTTCAAAACCACATGTGATCCCTTATACCTAAGAGGATTAAACATTTGTAGGGAAAGATAATACATTATATTCACTTATTCAGTTGAATTTTCCCATTTCATGATTACACATTCATTCCAATATATGAATTTTGAGGGTCTCTTTATGGTGCTGTGTGCAAGAAACATGGTTATTAAAGGTGCTATGTTATTTAAATATTCTTGAATAACCTTATCAGTACTGAAAAAAATATCAGGCAAATAGTGGATAGGCTTGAGATAGGAAATTGTCAAGCTGAATGTTCTCCTAGAACAATTTGACTGTTGGACCCTAGCTGAACAATAGCCACAAACTCAGGTGAGATTCAGTTATTCAGTGGAAGAGAATAAAGAGGAAAGGGAGTTCTTGGGATGAACGGAATGAATAATAGTCTGTTTGGAGCTGAAGCTTAGCATGGCCTTTTCCTAGCAAGACGCAGTCAAGGCCTTTACCCAGGAAGTCCACATGTCTTTGGAGCAGGAATAAGTTTCATGACTCGAGGGCGTTTCTTACTCTTGTACAGGAAAACATAGTGAGGATACCTGCTCGGGCAGGGGTAAAAATGGGTGGTAAGCAATCAAGAAGACAAGGCAGGCTTTTCAGGAGGCAGAAAGAAAAAGAATTGACCAAAGCCTGAATTCAGGGGATTGTTCAAAGTCACTTTGAAAATCCTCTTCTTGCTGGGCTCTGTACTTGCTCTATGTCCCTCTATTTTCACATCAGTATTCACAAATGAAGCAAATGTGCCCAAAGGAGCATACCTTTCTTTTCCTGGCATTAGTTCGAGAATTGCTTGGTATGTTTTGAGAAGTCCTGAGACCAATATGGAGAAACAAGCACATCAATCAGTATCACAAATTATAACATTTGAAACGACTTATTTTTATTGGTAGCGAAAGCAACAAAGTCCTCCCGAAGTCTCTATGGAGTCCTCATTAAATGCGGCACACAGTTCTCTCAGGTTGGAGTTGTGTTCATGCTCTTGTGTCTCCATATTTATGCATTTAAGTTGTGCTTTCTGCTCTTAGAGAATTTTTTTGTTGCTTGAGACATTTATTTCTGGCATTTCACAAATCCGAAACATATTGAAGAAACAAGGCACATCATTCCAATTTTTCCTGGGATTTGAAGAGTCTCGGATGGTGGCACAGTCCTCCACTGTCACTATATTATTGGGCTCCCCGACATCCCAGAAGCTGAAAGAGAATAATGCAGGAGATTTAAAATCCCAGCTAGAAGAAGTCAAGTCATCTACTATGCTAGGCAAATGATATTTGTGTTGTATAACTTCACAACAGTTTTGTTAGTTAGGCATTATAATCTCCATTTTATTTTATTATTTTATTTATTTTTTTAAAGATTTTATTGATTTGGCAGAGAGAGAGGAAGCGCACAAGCAGGGGGAGAGGCAGAGAGAGAGGGAGAAGCAGACTCCCTGCTGAGCAGGGAGCCCCACTTGGAGCCTGATCCCAGGACCCCGAGATCACAACTCGAGCTGAAGGCAGACACTTAACTGACTGAGCCACCCAGGCGCCCCTATAATCTCCATTTTATTGATAAGGAAAAGGAATCCCAGAAAAGCTAAACCATTTGTCTAAGTCATAGAGTTTATGAGGAGTGAAGCTGAACTGGATATTCCTGACATTCTATTCTGTCATGCTCCCTCATGGTTGTCCACCCATAAAGGAGTAGCTATTGATATTCGGTGGGTCTATTTCCTTTGCACTCATATCTCATCTTAAGTTTGGTTCCTTATATTCCACACTGAGTTTGTATTCACTTAGGTACATACCTCAGTGGTGTTACAGTGCTGTAGTGAAGCAACTTTCTAAAGTCTCAGCGCATCTGGCCTGTACTCTTAGAACTGACATTAACCTTCCTGACCTTTAGTTTCCTCAAATGCTAAGTGAAGATTAATAATATCAATGTATCTCAGAAAGGTGTAATTTAGGTAAAATGAAATAATGAATGAGATAAAAACTTTGAAAACTCCGAAGTGCTGTGCTCTAATGATGTAAGGTCATTATTAAGGAGAAAAGAGACACTCCATAAATCTGCTTTTCAAATCACTATTTTTGTCTCATTTACTAGTTTGGGGCATAAGACTCTGAATTTCACTCTGTCTCTGCAGCATTTCCAATGAATTAGTCTTTAATTCTAACCCTCTCCTTCTTTTCATCTGTTATTTCCCCTTTAATCAAATAGTCTCAGGAAGTGGGAGCACTAGATCCTCATGCTTCCTTCGTCTATCTTCTTGCATGTCGTTATCACCAAAGTTTGACCTGAAGATATCTCATGGAACAGAAGGAGGTTCTGAGAACTCCATGCAACAATGGTCTAACTCTGGGATTTGAGACAGTGTTAAAATTCTCCTGCAAGAAGGAAATTACCTCAGAGTTTCTGACAAAGGTGTTCCATCTACCCATTGCCACTGACCCTCATTCACCTGGTCTGTCAGTCCAATATAGAACTCTCTCCTTTTAGGTTTCGCAAAGTAAAGGAATTCCTATGGAAGCAACACGATAAAAAAAAAAAAGGAGATCAATTATTCCAATTTTGAACAAATGTTGAAGGTAATTGTTATTAAAAGATAAAGTAGGACATTTACTACAGATAATAGATAAGTGGCTCTGAAAGTGTAAGATCATGGAGGATTATCTCCTCATTTTTTTTTTATTGTGGTAAAAATATACCTACTGTAGAATCAAATCTTTAACAGACAAGGAGGTTCTCAATAACTCATTCAAAGTTTATCTACTGTTATTTGTAGCAAAATCTACTGTATATATCCAGCATGAAACATTATTCATCACAGCTTAGAGATAGTGGACGCATCTTTGACATATCTGACATAATCATGTGATATGCTCATCAATCTAATAGCCATTCTAAAATGAACTCCCAGCCCTTCCCCCTGCCCCTGCCCCGTCTTCCTAATAAAGAAACTGAACATGGAAATTCCCTTTTTTTAAGGCTCTTCTAGTGATGAAAATAGAGTATCGACTTACAGAAATAGTAGGAACAGCATGCATTTCAATACATTCATTTAACAAATAGTAACTGTGGCCCAAACACTGTATACACGTATGGAGAAAGGGATAGATCCTGTGAAGAAGGTCACATTGACACCAGAGGAGGCTGCACTCCAACTACCTGCTCCTCCTGCGTGTTGATAACAACCAGATGGGCTCCCATGTTGGAGCAGTTTTTTAAACTTGATGCCCAGGACATGGTGTTAGTAGAAAAGAAGTAGCAGCTAGACTGAAAATGTACCCAGTCTGATGGACAGCAATTTTTGACTGAACCTAGGAGGAGAGAAGTTTCCATGAGTGTCCTAGCCCAGAGGAGCATCATGTAGCATTTTGCTAAGACTTGGAACAAGACTATATATAGAAGAGCGTAGGGAGTATATTTCTGAGATATTTCCAAATTCCCTATTCTATATATTTTTTTCTCCTTCACCTCATTTGGAAGCAAGTGAAGAATGAAAAGAAAATGCATTCCTGGAGATAATACCTTCCACTTCTAGATTTTCTGTTAAGACATATCTCAAATTTATTCTAAAAGTTTTCTATAATGTCCCCAAGATTTCCTGTCTCGATGCTAATTGCATTTTCAAAGTTCTAAAACTGTCTTCTTACCAATTCCTTAGCATTCTCATATAGTATAGGCAAGATTTTACATTTCGTTTTTGAAAAACAGAACATCATCCAACTACTTTACTTGTCCCCAAATCAATCTAGAAGCCAAAAAAAAAAAAAAAAAAGTGTTGATATAAGGGCTTCTGGGTGGCTCAGTTGTTTAAGCATCTGCCTCTGGCTCAGGTCATGATCCCAGGGTCCTGGGATGGAGCCCCGCATCGGGCTCTCTACTCAGCGGGAAGTCTGCTTCTCCCTCTGCTCCTCCCTGACTTTCATGCTTGCACTCTCTGTGTCTCTCTCTCTGAAATAAATGAATAAAATCTTTAAAAAAAAGTATTGATATATATAAATGTTAATGTTCAAATTTGAGGACTATTATACCCGATCCATCATTGGAGCAGGAGAAGTCCCTGAACGCCTCATGTAGCTGGAACTTATTCTCATCACAGAGTTGAAAGACACGATATGTCACTGTAAAGAAAGGGGCAGAGTTAATATTCATTACTCTTGATAAAAAATAAATCTTATCATTTTTGTATTTATAACAAAAGTACCAATAATCATCATGGTTTCTTTTTCTTTTCTTTTCTTTCTTTCTTTTTTTTCTATTTGTCCTTCTACACAGAGAGGCACCAAGATTTACTTATTCAAAGAAAGAAGAGGGAATTCACATTTCATGGTTTTCCTGATTTATGAAGATGAATGTACTTTATTTCAGGTCCAAAGGCTCAGAGAAAACAAATGCGTTTTCACTTTCTCTTATGCCAACCCTCCCTACCTTTCTTCCAAAAAGTGATTTTTCATGCCTCTGGCTAGGATCCCATGGAGAAGTTTACCCTAATGATAGGAGTATAAAGGGGAGGGCTCAAGGCCACCAAGGAGATGAAAAGTGTCTATCATTAGAAATGTGTCAGAGGTCGCTGAAATTTGGTAACTGTTCTGTACTAGTTGGGGTTCTAGTTGAGCAATAACCTGGAGATAAATAGGGAAGAAAGTGGAACAGAAATACCCTTTTGGGGGGAAGACAACCCACAGGCAACAAGAAAGATTTTACTCCTAATATTCACCAGGGAGATTAAACTTGACCTTTTGAACTCACCAACACATCTGGTGATAAAACAGGCGCTGAGCAGTAGCATGGAGACCCCAGCAACAGTCCATAAGAGCACTTGGGAAGACAAGCATCTTTTCTCTGTAGAAAGAAATACGCAAACATGGTCAGTCTTCCCCTAGCAAGATACAAAAGAAATTCTTATTCAACCACTTATTTCCTTCCCACTTGCACTATTCTATATAGAGTAATTTTCAAACTTCAGCACGCATCAGAATCATTTGGATGGTGTGTTGAAACACAGATAATGGCGCCTCACCTCTAGAGTTAACAATTCATTAGACCCGGTACTGAGCCAGCAAGTTCCCAGAAGCTGCTGAAGCTGTTGGTCTGGAAACCATCTTTCAGAACCACTAGAATAAGCCATTGCTAATCTTAAGATTCATGAACTGAGACAGATGGGCAATATTTCCTTCCTAAGTCTCCCAGGTTTTTCCCCTTCTTTTCCTATCTTTGTCTTCCCCTTTCTCCCTCTTGCCCCCTCTATTTTTCTTGTCTCTCTCCTGCTCTCCTCTTTTCGGTGTTTCATTTCCCAAACCCTCTGTAAATCAATTCAGATAAAATGTTGGCCATGCTCTAGTAGCTCTTCTCCCCCTCCCTCCTGATACACATTTTACAGACAGGAAAGTGGGTTCCAGAGAAGTGAGGTGATTTGCCCAGCACGACACAGGGAAAGGGTGGGCAGAGCAGTCTGATTCACCTCCCTGGAATCCAGCCCAGTGATCCTCAGTACAACATATGGTCCCTAACCACTGCCTCAGCTTCCTCTCTTGTGTACTGTCTCTGTCTCCCTTCTTTTGTTCTAGTGGAGACTTTTCTATTGTCCTGTCCCTCAAAATATTTATCATGTCTTCCCAAAAGAAAGATCTATGAAAGAAAGGGAGAGTTGTAAATGTTACTGTGCCTTGTGATGTAGATGGTTGGGATGAATTCATTCTCTCCCTCTCTCTCTTTCTCCCTCTTTCCCTCTCTCTCTCCTCTTGTCAGTTTCTGAGTCCAGGAGTATTTTGTTGGTAAGATTCAAGGAAAACGAATCTTTTTCTGTTTTTTAGGAAGTGCAACCCTAAGACATCATAATATTAATGTGTCTTGTGGCTTTGTGTTTCAGTCAGGGTTTCCTTTCTTGCATAAGGAGGACAAGGGATTTTACCGGGTGACAAGTTGACAAGTCTGTCTCCTCACTTCCCGAAACAACTAAATGGGGAAAATGGTGAAGTGGTTAAATATCAACAGAAATGGGCTGAGCGTGCAGACACATCAGGGGCTGAAAAATACTGGTGGAAAAATTTTGGTGGATAAAATTTCTCTGCTTTCTTCCAGGCCTCACTCATCCTTCAGTCTGCCCTTGACATTTGTGGGGCCCTCCTCTGCACTTCTAATTTCACTTTCAGTCCTTGCCACCACACATTTGTTAACTGGTAAGGGGACAGACTCCAAATCTTCACACTTGGCGCAGAGCTGGGCATATAGTATATGCATTACAACTTAGCCATGTGAATTCCTTTTCCTATTTTATGTTTTTTTCTTCCTCCTTTGCTTGCTTCTCTTGAACCTTCTGGATTTCTCCCGTGTTGTGCAAGTTGCATTGTGGGTTTGTATCTCTTCTATCAAAGTGTTCAACACTAGGCAATCTCACAGGTCTGCCCCAGTTGAACCGCCTCACGTGGTATGACTACTTTGAAATTCAGCTCCATTCCTCAAGTCAAAACAGCTTCTGGAGCCTTCGAGACTCAGCAAGTAGTTTCATTCTATTCTTCTAAATTATTTAGGGATTTTTGTTTTATATTAGGGCCTATTTTAGGAGAAGTAAATTTGAATGTCAGAAGAAGCAATTTCAGTTAGACATGAAAATATCATGTTTCTCTGGAAGGTTAGTTAGATGTAGTAGTGTTCCACTCCCTTCCTTAAAAATACTTAAGAACAAGATCAAACTGGTCTCTATTGATTAAAATTCACAAGTGTCAGGAGGCATTAGTTATATATATATATGACCTGGTAATCCCCACACCAATGACTCACAGACTTCATATCTTAGAAAATATCCTTGTTTTCAATGGGACTTTTTATTGTTTCAATGTATTGCTCAATTTCCTCTGCATCCTCTATTTTATAGTTATATAGATTTATTAAAGAAAATTTTAAAATTCTACATGTATATATCATAAAATATTTGCATCTCTAACATGGATCTTATCAGCATTAGTTTTTGACCAGTAAAAAGAGATGATCTAGTGGATGAGTTAAGTGAATTATTAAATGATGAATCATAATGACTACAGTCAATAATTTGCTATGATCAATCAGTAATAACTAATATCAATAAATGATTATATGTTAATAATTTTATGAACATGCAATTAACTAATATTAGTAACCAACAAATTAATATCTTAATATCAGTCAAAATATGTATATGTTTTTATTCTTTATCACTTTTGTAAGTGATTATAATTTTATCACCAAATTATAAAAGTAATATTTTTATGGTTAACAATATGAGAAGAATGTGGCAAATAAAAGACCTCCCATCTGTCCTAAGTGCACTCTTCTAAAGTCAACCATGCTTGGGGCACTTGGGTGGCTCAGTTAAGTGTCTGTCTTCAGCTCAGGTCATGATCCCAGGACAAGTCCCACATCAGACTCCTTGCTCAGTGGGGAGCCTGCCATGCCCCCTGCTTGTGCTCGCTCTCTCTCACTCAGATAGATAATAATAAAAAAAAGATTTAAAGTCAACCATGCTTAATGATTTCTTGTATATACCTTGAGACATTTTCCAAGCTTATATAAGTCGAGTCTATGTAAGATATTGCTTATTCATTTTTAGTCAAATAAGATCATACCTGCAATACTTTTATGTGTTAAAAACTATTTTTATATTCATCAATGTATTCGGGTATCTATCTTCTTAACTCTATTATTTAAACTTTTCTGCAATTTATAAATGGGCACAAATAATTTCTAGTTTTTCCTTCCTCTAACACATGAGGTAGTGGCTACCTTTATACATATTTACAGGGGCACGCTATTTGGCTCAATGATACATGCCAAATGTTAAAAATCATTATTTGGCTTGAGCTTTCATCATAGAATAACATTCTGGGCTATAACCATAAATATAAAATTTTGTCTGAAG